GGTCTTGTGTCTGAAGATCTTGACTGCACTGCTCTGTTTTTATGAGGTGGATTGGCAGGTAGTGCTGTTTGCATTTTTGTTAACTTCCATAAGGTGCAGTAAACAAATTTTAATGCAGTTTTTATGGAATGTTTATGAAATCCATGAGCATGTTTCACTGCATCAGAGACACCGTATTTAGATGAATAGCTATGTTTAAAGCCCGTGGGCCTGTGAAGTGCATGACTGCCTGTCAAAGAACTGAATTGTGTTTTAAAATGAAAATGATACATCAACTTTTAATTTGATTTCAATGTGTAATTGCAATGGGCTTTTGAATGTGAGCAGAAAGGGGACAGCCCGTGGCTACTTCGCTGTGCATTCATGTTTGTTGGTAATACCTGAAAGCAAACTGAGATGCACCTGTGTTGAAACACAGCAATGTTGTTTTCTCCTGTGGAAAGCCAGAGGCAAATTAATTGTTTTGTAAAATTTTTATTCTGGCTCTTACACTTGCAAATTGATTCACTTAACTGGCAGTGCTTTGCATGGGCAAGGGAAGCTTTTCAATAGAGTTGTTATGTCAGCAAGTTAAAGAGTCAGCAAAGTTTGACAGTGCTTCAGAAATAAAGGTAATTTATGCATTATACTGATCACTGAAGATGATAGAAACCAGGCTGTTTATAACCTTGTAAAGAAGACAAAGGCTAATGCTCCGTATTAACATTATGTGATTACATTTTAATATGCCTCATTAAAATGATCTATATATATTCTCCAGGCATGTACATTTTGCAATACAAGTTTAAAGAGCAACTTTCTGCTTTCTTATTATTTGCAACAGCATCCTGAGAACTACAAAAGACTGGGAACATAATTAATAAAGAACATTTTAGCATGGTTTTGAGGGATTATTATGTAATACAAACCCAGTCATTTTAAGTATGTGTCCTTGTGTCACATGGTGTACTCTGCCCATGCTGTTACATGCCCTTCGGGATTCTAGACAGGCTCACTTGTGGTAAAATAATGTATACACACCATTAAATTGCAAACCATTATGTGGCATTATTTACTATGTTAAGGCTGCACACAGGAAATCACATGTTAAAATACAAATTGAGACCAAAAATTACATTTTCCAAAAATTAAAACTATCATTTATATCTGCAGTATGCAGAGAATGTTCTGATATTTTGTATTCAGAATAAAAGTATTCACGTACTGGGGCATGTTCTTTTTCTAGGCCATGTTCATAGGGGGATTAATTGGAAATCATAGTTTACCCTCATTAAAAGCCTTTTACAGTTGCATATTATCTGATCAAAGTCTTTTTACTTTCATTCAAATGATGCATCGCAGAGCATTAACTCTTCACAGTTTTCTTCATGTCATGTCTAATGTTTGGTCCTGAAATAGCCCTACATTTAAAGTGTGGAGTTTTCGAGATGTGGGGAGGGTTTCCCCACTAAATTAGAAAATTGTTGTTTGTTAGAATGATAGTGCTATATTATAATGGCTATCTTTCCTTCTAAAGGAAAAAATATAAATTTTATTGTTGCTGCTTTGAACTCTTCATGTTTGAAGAAAAGTATCACTTAATTTCTGTTCATAAAACCTATCTATGTTTTGCTGGAAAAAAGTAATAATAGAGTCATTCTGATTTAAAACTAGGTAGTTCTTCGTATTGTTTTCTTTGGTCTGAACTCTGTCTGTTGAACAGAACTTTGAAACAAGGCAAACAGCTTCTTAACCTGTCAGTAGGGACCAACAAATTTAAACTTCCTTGCTTTCAGGAATTTAGATTAATGGCATAAAGTGGTCACAGGATTTATTAGTTTTTTTCTTTTTTTTAATTCTTTAATATGTTTTGTTTTGACCATTTCAGCACTGAAATTTTTAAGCTTTTCTATCTGTGAGATGTTTATACTAGGCGAGCTGAATCCTTGATCCTTTGGAATGTTCTTTTTAAACTTTAAATGTTTTTTCCAAGTTCCAAGTAATGGTTATTCATACTATCAGAAGTGAACATGAAAATTAAATTAGTTTGCTTTCTGATAACCTGTTTGGTAACATGTTCACTGCATAAGACTTAATGTAGTATGAGTAAAAATGTTGCCATTTTAATCGTAAAGCTCAGCTACAGGTGGAGGAGTTCTTTACTAAGTACTGATTAGGTTTGTTTTCAAGGAATATTTGATTTTCCTGACCTTTTATGTCATTCTAATTTCATGTTATTTGAATTAAAATGTCATCTTTTTTTTTTTTTTTTTGTAGTACCTAAAATAGACTTTATTAGTTTTCCTGAAAGCTATGTGCAACTTTGCTTTGGCCCATTTAAATATTGAAAACAGCAGGATTTGAGATTTTTCTTATAATCCTCAACTAATAGAGTTTAATGCTTTGTTTGGCCTACTCTACACAGCCTAAGCAAAAGTTTTAAACAAGATTAAAAATATGACCTTATTAACCCATGGCATCTAAAGATACAGAACAGGCCTGCAGAGAAGGAGTTGTTCATTAGCCAGGATAGCATGGTGCCATTCCCAATCTACTCGCTCTGTTCCGGAGGAAAACTCGGAGCCCAGCTTTTTTCTTTCTAGTGCCAGCACCCAGGAGTAAGAGAGTAAAAAGCAAGAATCTGTTTCTAAGTTGAATATTCAGTCTTTGTGGTTGGGGAAAATAAAGTTCAATTACTTTTGGAAATCTGAGGTGCAACCTGTCTGGGATTCTCAAAAACAATTCTGGCAGAGTGAAGGGACAGGAGGAGTGAGGCTTAGCTTTTGTTTACTGCTATTAATTAGTCCCTGAATAAAATGAGTTTCACCTTTCTTTTTTTGAAGAGAAGTTAGTTGCATGTAAACTCTTGGATGGGTCGTTGATGAACACGTTTGGTTCCAGAAGAATGATGTCTCATTGTTGTGGAAAATTTATGCTTAGTAAACATTACAAAACACAAAATGACATGATACCTTCATTGCTGTGTAATAAGATGCCTTGTTTACCGGGCATACTATAGGGCCATGGCAACAAAACCAGAAATAGGAACTATGAGTATTCTTGTTGTAAAGATGATGATGATTATCAAGCAGTTTGTTAATTGCTAGAGTTTTACATCACTCCTTATTCATTACCACTTTGCACTGCTCCTAGTAGCCTGAGGATCAGTGAAGAAGTGTAAAAGTGAAAGTTTGACCAAGATGTATAATAAAAATAATGTGGCTTATTGTGTGGTATGGAACAGTCAGGTAAATGTGCACTTAGCTGATGCTTTGAGACAGTTATCCACAAGTGTTCCAGGGGAGAGAATATAACTACAGTTGGCTTTAAAAAAAAAAAAAAAAAAAAATCAAAAAATCAGAAGACTTTCTGAACTTATGTTGTACCGATGATGTTTCAAAAGAAAGCAAAATGGCTGAATATTATTTCTTTACTCAGTCCTTTAAAATTACTGGTGTCTTGCTTAACTTTCATCGTATCAGTTGCCCTTTTGGTCTCAACAGAGCAGAATCTGAATACGTGTTCATTAAATTCAAGACCCAGCTGAAAATTGGAAGCAAAATCAAGCCAGACAAATTGCTTACACTATCATTGATAAACATTTACTGCTTTCATACCATTATTTACATTTTTTAAATAAAGGAACATTAAAAAACAGAAAGTGGCCAATGTTTTTGCAACCATATGTGCACTAACTGAAAAATATAGTATTTGTAGACCTACAGTAAGTCTTGGTTTGTGGAATGAAGAGTTTCTTAAGACCTGGGGCAATAGGAAGCATTGAAGATGGGAAGGAAGAAGGTGAAAAGACCTCAGTTTTTCCTTTTTTTTTCCTGTCTTATTTTCCTTAGTTCAGTGCTTTTGGCCTTTCTTGGCTCACTGCCTTGTTCCCATAAGTGGTGCCAAATCCCTAAAGCGAAAAACTGGTAGTCTTCAGGAATAAGATGGTCTCTCAACAATTTACATCTGGTTATTGATCATTTAATTTTCTTTCTGTATCAAGAGTTACTGACGTTCCTCACCCTGCCCCAAAGTTTTGAGAATATATGCAGCAGTCAGTGATGAGGAGCTGATGTTTAAGGATAATTGTGTTTCTGTTTGGTAGAGTTCTGCTGCTGATTCAGACATGTTCTCTACACAGCTAAGTCACCCTGAATGAGATAATGTGATGATGCTGTTTGCTTTCCATCTGCACTTGCCTTGTAATCATGCTTTCAGAACTGTAGAATGTATAGTAAGATCCTCCGCGTCTATATCTAAAAGACAGCATAGCACGTGGCTGGCATGGTGGTGTTTTCCTTGACACTGTCTTTACAAAAGTTGCATTAATCTTTCATTTGGTAACTGAAATTCCCACCACTCTCGGAACATCTGCGCCTGCCTTGTTATTTAAGCAGCACTCTTTTTTTTTTTTTTTGGTGCTATTCTTCATTCTTAATTGGTGAATATGCTTTTAGTTTCATTTTTGTTGTTGGCTTTGAATTAATTATAGAAAGGAGAAAGTCAAAAAGCATTTACAATGTGAGAACTCAGTAAAATGAGATTTTCAAGGAGTGATCTGTAAGCTGAAAGTGAGAGCATTACCTTTTAAAGGGTAAAAAAAAGGAAACACACTGTTGGTAGTGTAAAGTCTCTGGGATACTGTGCTGGAAAATGTTAGTTTTCAAAATAAAAAAAATAAAAAATAGTTGGTATAAATATTCAGATAATGAAAGTGTTCTGTAAAAACAGTTAAATGAAGATTAAAAGGTCACTTAAATACTTCAGCTAGGGTTTTTTTTAGTAATTACATGGCTAACTTGATTTACCTCAAAGTAGTAATTTTATGCTGTGTATAGCAAGAAATTAATAATGTAAAAATTTTGTTACAGTGCATTACAATTAAGTTACAATTTACAGACTCAATACTAGTAATACCTTTAGGATGCTAATTCCTGGTTATACCAAATGTTTGATCATGCATTTCATTTGATTGCACTATTTAGCATTGAAAATAACTATTGTCAAATCTTGTATTACAGGGAGAAGAAAATGAAAATTCAGGATATTAAAAACAATATTAAAGAAGCGATAGAGGTAAACTTACAGTCTATTGGTTTTGATTATTGAAAGCTAACTATTCAGACACTCTCTGCAGTATTTTATTTTTATTTCTTTGCAGACAATAGTGACAGCAATGGGCAATTTGGCACCTCCAGTTGAACTAGCCAATCCAGAGAACCAGTTTCGAATCGACTACATCTTAAATTTAGCTAACCAGATAGACTTTGATTTCCCACCGGTAAGTAAATAATTCAAATAGGCTGCAGTCCTGCTTTTTTGCAAATGATTATATTTCACTTCACTGTAGTAAATATTTACAAAAAACAATGAGCTACTCTTTGGGAATTACTACAGTAGGTGTCTTTGGTCAGTGCTAATCAAATAAAAGTGTATAGCAACACTGTTAGAAAGTTCAAGCTGATCCTTTATGAACACAGAGACCCTTCTCTGCTTTCTTGCCATCTACTGAAACAATCAGCTACAGAGGTAAGAAGGACAGTGCTGGCAGCAAAATTTGAATATTGTTGGGAATTGCCCTGCCCCGAAAGAGTGAAGATATACACAGCAGTCTGTTGATGATTAGCTGGAATTTCGTGATACTGTGTTTCTCTCTTTTGGAAGAATACTAGAGTTTTCTTGCTGATTCAGACATGTTCTCTGACAGTTGTGTGAGACAGACTTTCTTCAAAGGCTTCACACACTACGTCCTTGCCCCAACCCTCCTGATCCTAGTTAATCATTCAAAGTGCCAGCAGTCCCCGAGTAAATGCAGAAAGTACAGTTATTTGGTTGATGGTATAACTTTGTGCCCACTCACTGTGATTAATTTCTACTGTATCTCAACCACACTAGTAGCAGAAGTCCTTGATAATACAGTTTGCAAACACTGAACTCCTAAACACTGAGAATATATTTTTATTAATGAACATGAATTACCTTATTCTTGCAGTAAACAGGAGTGTTTCAAAGCTTGAATTCCCTCTCTGTGCACTGTTCCAGAGGACTAAGGGTAGGAATTATGATCATGTATCAAAATCATGATCGATTTACGCCAAAATCTTGTATCCAGCAGTAGTTAGTCCCAGATGGTTGAAAGGAAAGTGCAAGTGCAAATAATAGTAAGATGCAGAATAGTTTGCACCACAGCAAGGTTTTCATAACTGATTTGTAAACATTATTGAACAATCTAGCCTGTGAAACCAGTGAGGGTTACCTTTTGTAACTGTTGCCACTTCTGGGAATTTGTCTGCTTTGATCAGCTTTTATTTAAACAAACAAAACAAGGCAACCAAAAAAAAAAAAAAAAACAGAAAAACAAACAAAAAACCCAAAACCAAACAAAACAAACAAACAAACAAACAAAAAAGGAACAGCCGAAACTGCATACTTTGTGTACAAGGAAGGAGTCATGTCTGTTAAGAGTTAATTGGAAATACTGCCATTGGCCATTGTAATTTCTAAATCTAGTAGTTTTTAAAGTTCAGCAGGCACAGACAGGTTGATGGAGAGGGGGCATAGGGGCATATATGATTCTTCTATAACACATAAAATGTAATATTAGTCATTTTATCTTAAAGAATTTGAAATAAATGAGATCTGGAGGTTTTTAACTTGACACCTCTAATTCTGACACTTGTCAGTATTATTCATAGGAATATTTGGTCCCTTCATGGATCATCTCCTGCTAGGAGGACAAAAACATTCATGCTTTGAAGACAGTTTTAGGAGAGTATTTGAAAGAAAAGATAGTGGCTCCTTACTCCACCCTCTTTGCTCTTGAACTGGCTGCATGCCCTCAGCTCTCCTACTGCCCATTGTTTTGTGATAGTTCAGATTGTGATCTGTAACAATGCTGTAACAAGTTCCTGTGACCTACCTAGTACTGAAATACTTTATTTGCCTTGCCTCTTCTATCTTGGAGGAGTTTTTTTAAAATTCAATTGGAACATAATGATTTTTCTTAATTTTTTTTTTTTCTTTCCCCTGAAAGCAAGGCGTAATTCTGTAGTGGTAAGTGAGTAAGCCAAGTGTGTATGTATTACATTAACTGTTTTTTTTTTTTTTTTATATGAAAATTAATATTCAGTATGTGTTATCTCTGGTAGGACACATGGTAGCAAGCCCTTGATGTCTAAAGCAAAAGAAATATACTTACCAGGTCCATAAATAATTTCAAGTTCAGTGAAGAGACTTTGATGTGTTGAATGACACACAGCTTCAGGGATAACAGTTCTCCAATAAAACTAGTTTTTTTTCTTTGAGCAAAGGTATTGTGTTAAATTTTTAAGCCCTGAGTCTACAGAGGTTTAGGGATGTGCGTAACTTTTGACTAGTGGTTTGCTTCATTGACATGATTAAGTATTTTATATGTAAATGTTTATAGGGCTGAGGTTTTAAACTGTATATGCATTAGCCACTAATTTTGGAAGAGTATTGTTGGCTCCTTCTGCCCTCAGTGATTATATAAGCAAATATGTATCTGATTTCTGAGTGTGTCTGAATGTAGGTTATAGTCCTTTGGTACCTGAAAAACTGAAACTGTGATTTAATTGCGTATTTTAAATCAAGTAAAGATCTGGAATGTCCCTAGATGCCAACTCTCAGTATCAGAAATGTAGGATCCTTGGGTACGCCTATAAAGATAATTTTGACTTTGTTATAAATTAAAAGTACTTTGAAGAAAAAATAGTTTTCTGTAAGTGTAAAGGATAGCATTATGCTAGTTATACTTTAAGGAAATCTTGATTATCTACTTTCTCCTCCAGTACTCTGGTGGGACAATTTCATAAACCAGCAGCTAAACCTTTTCCTATACAGAGTATTAATGCAGAAGAAGGGAGGGGAATTTTTAGCAATGTTAGCAGTATGTAATGCTGTCTATTTTGAGTTGTAGAACTTGCTTTCTGTCTCTTCCATTGCCTTCATGGGGAATCATATTACAGCTGTTAGGAAGACATACTTTCCTCAGTATAGTATTTGATAATGCTCTTCTCTGCCATAGGAAGAACACAAAGGTAGGGAGAGAGAACACTCTTGTACCAAGGAGATGTTCTTTGAGTACTTAGCGTCATACTCTTTTAAAATACAAGGCCTTTTGGCTTCCCTTAAATGCCCATTCATCTTTTTCCTAAACTTTAATTTAGCAAGCTCTCCAGAAGGCAATGCACAGACATACAGAGTTTAGCACTAGGATTGTGTAATTTCTTTTCCATCTACAGGGAATCTTTAGAACATAAGAGATGTCATCCTTCTTCTGTAGATGAAGGAGTAGTTTAAATGAAGTTTAAAGTACACAACAAAATCTGTGTTCATAATTACCTGTTGTACAGGTGGAGTTAGAATACAAGTTTCCTAACAGCAAAGTTCAGTGTAATGTGAAAAGTAGGAGAAAGTAAAGGAAGAATGTAGGAGCTTTACAGTGGGATGATAGTATAGAAGTCTAGCTCTACATAACTAAAATTCAAAGAGCAACTTTTGTCTTCTGATATTCTAATTCTTTTCTTAGTTTGTGTCTCCATCTGTTTGCTTTGCAGTTTTTGACTTACAGGAAATGTGTATCATTTGTGTAGAACATACTGTTTTGAATTAAGAAAAAAACAACTCAAGTTAAAAATAATGGTACAGTTCAATGTTAGGTTAAACATTCACGTTAAAACTGAATATTTAGTTTGTTGGAGATGTATTAATTCAGCACACTTCATATTAAGCAACAGATACGAGATTTCTTGGATACAAATAGTAGCATATGGTGAAAGGAACTCTGTCCAGGTAGTCATGCTGGTGATTGAAAGTATTGCAATATTTATTAGATCAAATACGTAGTTCCTTCTGTAGTCCTTCCGTGTTGTTTCACCATACGGTATATACCACTGGCAAGAACTCAGAAGAGTTTTACTCTTACAGTGGATGGTCCAATTTGTCTTGTCTTCAGCATGTTTTCAACAGTTTCTAAAATGCAAATGACAGAAAGAAACCCAAAACTTTGTGACTGAAGTGAATTGATAAAGGCTAGGAACATAGCCATGTTGAAAACCTACAGAGAATGCTAATTAGTAATATTATAGGCAAAACAACTTAGTACTAAGTTCATGTTTTTATGTGAAGTATTTTCTGCCTTAGCTCATTGTGGACTTCTTCAGTAGCTTGAGGACATAGTATCTCCATGGATAATGGAGGGCTGTTCTGATTTGATTTTGCAAAATACTTTGCTGCTTCTAGGGGTAAAATCTATCCTTATTATTAGGCAGCTTGTTGCACAGCCTTTTCTTAGAGAAGAGCAGAATGGAAATAACAGAAGTCTAATCAGGTCCATGTAATTTATTGTTAATATGAATAGCACTGATAAATATTGTGTGTAGTATTCTGTTTACATCACTGGGAAACATATTCTTGCTAAAATGACAAGACATTAAATGACTAAGTCTTGTAAAAAAGTCTAGCCCTGATAGTTTGAATGAACATTGAGAAGAACAGAGAACATGCTTTCCACAGAGAAGTACTGAAAACAGAACTCTATTTTTTCTAAAACACTACAGTACCAGTTTTTTATGAAAGTTTATCATTTAAGGAGGACCATTATTATTGCCTTTATTCAAGTTGGGGTGTTTTTCTTGTGATTAAATTGTCACTGGCTACCGTGATGACTTTAAGCAAAGGAAGAGAAAGTTGAAGTAAGAAAACCTCCAAGTTCATCTAACTGAACTCACTGAGCTAGCTGAAACATTTCATTTTAATAATCAAGCTGATTGTGAATGTGCATTAGTTAAAGCCTTGGAAATGAGGTAGTAATCTATGTGTTGATGTATTGGTACAGATCTGAAGGTATACATGTAATTACTGCTGCTGGGTTTGTGTTTTAAGATTATATCATGATAATATTTTTTTAAAAGAAGAAATTTATAAGTGACTTAGAAATTATAAAACAAGCTGTGGTCATCGTTGGGACTCTAATGAAACGAGTAGAACAGTTGGTTTGCTTGAGCAGTGAATTTGAGAGCTTGATTGAGTTTGTGATAGAATTGCTTTTTTATTTATGTTGTGTTAGCTGATCTTTGTAGGAGTAAATTTTACTCTTTAATTTTCCATGTAACCAGATTAATACATGCTTTACAGGATCAATGTGGTGTGAAAGAACAAATACCTCACAAATCAAAATTTAAGGCTGTTTTTACAACTATTCCATCAGTTAAAATGTAAAATAAAAACAAATTATGCTCATAGTTGAGTCTTCTAAATGGC